CTATTCAAATTAAAATTCCTTGGTCCCCTCACCCTAGCCTCTCAGTCCCAGGCTCCCCTTGGTTCTGGAACTTCATCTTTCATGGGGAAAACACTGCCATCTGGTGGCCTCCAGGAGCCCTAATACTTAGGCCACGAGTCTGGGTTCCAGCTGTCCAGCCCAGCCTCATAGGCTCCAGTTTTTTGAGACAACATGAGGGCTGCATTCTGTCAGAGACGCAGACACAGCACACTCCATGGCCCTTATCTTCTAGGAGCCCTCGAGGCAGGTTCAGAGACACGACTCCTACCTGAAACGATTTGTTCATAGTGTAAAGTCTGTGACCAAAGATGTGGATGAGTTGCAGCCTTTGTGAGCGTGGGTGGTCTTGGGCACAGCACCTGACCTCTGCTCCTTAGTTTTCTTAGGATAAAATTCAGCTTAAGTCACTAGCATGAAGAAAAGAGATTTGTCTTTAAAAACCTACAGAACTTGGGAATGGAAATGTCGTAGGGAGAGGAGAAGGTCGTGTCACTGAGGCATCGAGCCTGGATGACAGAAGGCTGAGGCCTCCAGGACGGCAAATTTGGGGAAGAGAATGAGTTAGATTTACCTGTGATTCTGAAGAGATACCGGGGCAGGGAGTGGCGATGTCCAGCGTGTGCTAGGAGATGTGGAATGAAGACACGGATTTGGGAGGCAGGAGCAGTTCTGAAGCGCTGATGTGCTGGGTTTAACGCTCGCTTCCGCTGTTCCTGGCTTCAGAGCTGGGCACGTGCTCCATGGCGACCCTGGGAAGTGCTGCTGTCAGGGCTGCTCACATAATGGCTCTAGCGCTTTACCTTCCACTCACGGGATGAGATTCCACTTCCCACCCCTTGTGTGATTAGAAGATGTGGGTCCAAAATCAAGTCGGTGATAGCCTAAACAAATAATAAATTGAAAAACAAAAAGCAGCAGCAGATGTGGGTCTAAATGGGCGACCACAGTGTCTCTGAGGGGCACCTGCAAAATGAAGTCATGTTGGGTTTTGTGGGAGTGCAGCGAGCTACTGTGATGCCGTCTGTAGGTACTTTGTGTTTGTGGGAATATAACCTCCATGAAGGAAAGAGATTTTTATCTGTTTATGTGTGTCCTGGTACTGAGTAGGCATTCAGGAGTCATTGAACAGTGAGTGACTAATTAGCATAATTACCAAAGGACTGATGAACAGAGGAAATCTTCGAGGGTGAGACAGAAAGGGAAACCAGAAGGCTGAGCCCAGATGTTGCCCAGAGTTAGGGGGCTGAGGGCCACTCTCTAATTAGGTCCATTTTAGAAGCATGAAGTGTAACCTTTCCTGTGGATAGGAGGTTAGTGGTTCTCAGCAGTGCAATGTCTGGTGGGAGACATGCTTGGTTCCTGCGGGTGGTGAGGGCAGGGAAGGCGCCAATGGCTTCTAGTGGGTAGAGGCCAGAGATGCATTAAGCATCCTCCAGGCTCAGCACAGCCCCGCCAGGAAGCTGCGTTCTCCCAAATGTCAACAGTGCCGAGACTGAGAAGCCCCCACCCCACGATGACCCCACTTCCAGCTGTGCTCCCCCCTGGTTCAGCCCTATCTAGTCAAATCCTCGAGCGCTCTCTGAGTTTGCTTCCTTATCTGTCAAATGGGAATACTCATTCCACGCGGCTGGCGCATTGAAGGCCTACCGCCAACCAGGCATGGTCACTCTTGGACAAGAGGACGCATAACGCATAGAAGGGTGAATTGCTGAGGCTGAATCCTACTTCCAGAGGGGATGTGTCTCTTTGAAGCCTTCAGATTCACTCCTCTGAGCTCCCACCATCCTCCACACCAGCGCAGTCACGCTAATACATCATCTGCCTCCTCCTTTCATCTTTGCTGAGGACTTGGGAGATGGTGCAGAGATGGGAAGGACTCAGGACTCGCCTCCAGAGCGAGACGGGCTGAGACTCCTTTCCTTACAGGTCTGACCCAGGCAAAAGTTGGCAGGACAGAGTCCCCAGCTCCATGGCCTGGCCAGGTGGGCAGGTGCTGGAAGAGTCGTGACGTGAATATATTAAAGTTGCCAAAACCACTAAAAGCTTGTATAAGACCCCCCTGCACAGCAAGGGGAGGACAAGAAAGCGGGAAAGCTCCTCCTGAAGACCTTATTTATGTGCACGTCACTGCTACCGCGTGTGCAGACGGCCGCCTGGCCTGCAGGTGCATACCCCGCCTCCCCCTCACACACCTGCGTGGTCTCCCTGCCTCTGAGGGGCCCGATCCCTCCAGTCGCCCTAAGGCCTGGTCCTGCTGCGGTTTACAGGTGACCCTGGCCTGACTTCTCACCCTGAAGGTCTCATGAAGGACAAGTGAGGGAAAGGAACACAGAGAAAGGGAGAGGGGGAGGAGATAAGGGATAGGTAAGAAATAGATGGCTAAGAGCAGAGCGCTGCAGGGAATGGTCATAGCTGGAATGTTCTGAGCATTACTTGATGCCAAGGACATGCTCCCTTCGTGCTCGTCATTCACTCCTCAGCAGCCTGTGGGTTCCGTTTCAGGATGCCCGTTTCACAAACCCCGAGTTCAGAGTGCTGCAAGAACTGGGGTGCCTCAGGTCAGCTCATTGCCAGGCTGACCGTGCACATGCCCCGGGGAGAGTGTGAAGTGGCTAACGAGGAAGACCCTTCTAGAAGGAGCACCTCCCAGCCCAGTGGGCGAGGGAGAGGACTTTCCCCTTGATTTCATCCACAATTCCTGTCGCAATGACAAGAGCGGGGAGAGGGGCCACCACAGCTATTTAGCTGGGGAAGCCCCAATGCCAAACATCCTGTGTTGTAGAGAACACCCTCTGGTTAAGAAACACTGGAACTTTCTGGTTTTGGGCTCTTCCTCGCCACAGACAGAATGTGGACCCAAGCGCCCGCATCATCAGGTTACAGTGAGGGTGACATGGCCTGCCACCTGCATGGTGCCCATTCCCAGGGCAGCCCCAGAGCCCCAGCCACACACCCTGGGGCTACAGACCCTTTCTGAGTGGGCTGCCCCCTCCTCCTACCAGCACTTGCATCTCTTTTCAGGGAGCTGCTGTGACTTTGCGAGCAGGCAGTTCCCTCCATGACAGGAGTCCAGGCAGGCCAGGCCCTCAACCGTGACTGGTGGGAGCTGGTGTGTAAATACCCCGACTGCCTGGGCCCTGCGGGGAGGAGTCAGAGGCGCTTCCCCTTGCTTGTACGTCCCCAGACCGCCCGTCCAGCTCTCTCCGGGGGAGCCAGCTTCCCTTTCTGCCTCTTCTCTTCCTCGGATCTCCAGCCAGTGAATCCATTTGCAGGCAAATCCTTGTCTCTGGGTGGCCTCTTGGGAACCCCCCACCCCGAGACACACACGACCTCCTTGAGGGTCAGTGCCCTCCACGTCCTTGTCCGCGGCTGGCTCTGCCATCCCGAGCCACGGCCTCGCAGGGCGTGTGTCTGACGGCGCGGGCTCGCTCGTTTGAATAACTGTGCGCTGTGAATTATGTTAGTTCTCTCTCTGGCTCGTTAACAACATTATTAAAAATTGGGTGGGGAGGGAGGCGACCCATTAAACCCCACAAACTGAAAATAATTCTTTCCCAGGCAGAGCGAGCGCCATCATTTCTGCTTTGGGCCGGAGCGCCTCCCTTCCTGCCCCCCGGCCGAGGAGAAGAGCGGGTCCCTGCGGGACAACGGCGAGAGACTTTTGGGGTTCCAGGCAGCCAAGAGGGCTCCAGGGGCAGGGGGTGGTGTTGGGGGCTGTGCGGGGTAGAGGCTGGCTGAGTGGCTCTGCCCTTGAGAAAGGAGCCAAAGGGCACAGACAGGGATGCGAGCCAAAGCCCACCGGGCCTCGTGACTTCCCGCGGGCAGCACGAGAGCGTCAAGGCGGGCACTGGCTTTGAAGCTGGTCCTTTGCGCCTGGAATTTGCACTTAATGTGCTTTCATCCCCTTCCCAAGGGGCTATTTCTTCTGAGTTTCTGCCCCCTGTGAGGAAGTGAAGTCACACCCAAGCGGCTTGAAAGCTGTCCTGGAACATAGCCCTCTGGCCCTCGCCTGCATCTCTCTCCTGCTGCTGGGCGAGGCCACATCACTCCGAAGCCACCCCTGGGGCCTCTCGGCCTCTGTTGCCTGTCACGTGTGGTGAATCCTTTAAGGCAGCTGCTGCGGGGCAAACCGGGTCCGCTGGCATCGCTAGGGCTTTGCTGTTTAACCCGCGGGGGGCTGTGGTCTTGCCTGTTCTTCCCCTCTGTGTGCCTGTGAGCAGGACACTTCTGCTGCTTGTCCTGGACCCACCACTGCAAAGAGGGCTTGATATGATGAGGACTTTGAGCTTTAAATGAGACAATACACAGAAGGATCTGCTGAGAACCTCCTGATTCATGACCATCAGCTAGGACTGAGGACTAGCTGTGGCAGAGCAGCAGGGGAGACACAGCGCTTGGGACTGAGCTTTCCCGTAGCCTCTAGCAGCCGGCACAGGACCCTGCACACAGCGGCTGCTCAGTAAACACTAGCATGAAAGCAGAGCAAGCAAGCCAGGCGCTGGTGCTATTTAAAGCTGTGGAGCCCTGGGCACTTCTCAGGTGCTGGTTCCTCCTGAGCGTGGCAGGGAGATGTCCTCATTTTATCCGTTGGTATTGGTCCCGACTTCTGGGGTTTCCTTCCCTGTGGCTGAGACATTGCTGACTCGCCTGCACCTTCTCCTCTAAGAAGCAATCATCTGACGGTAAGCTGGCAGGACAAACTGGGAGCACCTGGCCCATCTCTGCACCCCAGCCTCCCCCGCCTTTGGGGTGCTAGCGCCTTTGCTCTCCCAGCCTGTGCTTTGCTGGGGCTGTGCCTGCCCACCGGTGCCAGGGCCAGGTTAGTCTGTCAGTTCGGGGGCTCAGTGTCACGAAATCCTCTGGACTGTAGAGATAAGCCACATGTTATAACCTGATCTCTACCAGTAATGAGGGTGATCTGGGGCTCTGTGTGAGAACCTTTGTTTTATTCAGACTCTTGTTTTATTTTATTGGTTCAGGTCCAGGTAAAGGAGGACAGTGCTGGTTTTCGACTCCCTGTTTGACCTTAACATCATCCCTGCTACCATCCCCATGATGCAGGTAACGTTTTTTGTTTTTTTTTTTAAGCATAGATGGGTTCAGTGAGTTCTCAGGGTCACACAGGTGAGGTAGGTTCAGATTCAGGTGATTTTGAATCCAAAGAGTGGCACTTACCTATGTCCACTCCTTTCTGGAGAGTTTCTGAAATTTGCTTGTGTTATACTCTTGTTTTATCCGCCTCCCACACAGAAGTACAAACTGCAAAGACAGAACTTTGCCTTGCTCTCCCCTGGGTTCCCAGTGGCTGGCACTCAGCAGACAATCAGTAAGTAATGAATTTGTGTATTTTACTATGTTGTTGATTGATTAGTAGTTGTTAGGACCAAAGGACAGCACCAAGTATAGGGTAGCGGTGTGTGGGGTCTCAGCACGAGCAGACTGTCTACACAGAAAGGGGACCACTGGGTCGGAAAATACACCCTTCACATCATTGATATTCCCAAACTCTACGCTCAGAGGCAGGTTATTTCTTGCTGACTTCTGACTTCACTGGATGGTCAGTTACTAAACAAGTCAGTTACCTTGTCTTTGCAGATGGAAGATGGGGTGACGGCCAACGGTATGCATTCCTAACATCACAACCACTGGGAGTCACAGAGATCCTTCCCCTACTTCATGACTCCTTAGCCAAGGGAGAGTCACCATACCAAGGTAGCCTCCAGTTTCCCTTCCCACGCTGGCACCAAGATGCCCCATCAGCCAGTCCTTTTCCGGCCACTCGCCCCAGCCAGGAACAGCTATCTGTGAAGCAAGCAGAGTCAGTTAGGTACTTGGGCTGCACTGCCTTTATTGTGCAGGGTACAGAGACCCTTTATTGTACAGGGTAACCCAAGAACCCTAAAATTTCCTAAGGATTCCTAGTGAGGCACATCCTTTAAAGATAACTTCAGTGTTCATGTTTTATTATGTTTATACTTTAGTATTTTATTATTTAATGATTTTAATCAGTGGCTGGCATTAATAATAATATGAGGTAGGTACAGTTTTAAGTACATTACATGTATCAATAAATTCTCACATTAGGGTCTTATGAGATGAATGTTATTACATCCATTTCAGATACAGAAACTAAGGTACAAAGTTATTAATTTATAGAAAATTATGCCACTAGTAAGTGGTAGAAAAAGGATTTTAAACAAGCCACCAGTCGATAGAGCACTGTGTGCTGTTTTCAAGCAAAGACTTTTCCTCTTATAACATCTTTATCTATATCACTTAGTTTGCAGATTGCAATCTTCATTGTAATAACTTTTAAAATGTTCTAAAATTTCAGCTTTAGAGTGGAAACTGACCTAAGAGTTGTTAAGGAGAGAGTTAAATTTTTCAAATAGTATGAGTTTCTCTCTTTTTGTTTGTTTTTATGAGTTAGAACTCTGATTGCAACATCTCTGAAAACATCCCCAACTAAAAAAGGAGAATTGGTTATAAGGATAGAAGGACTTTGTATACTCCAAAGGCAAGAGTCCTGATGGGATGCTTAAACAGAAATAAATCAGTGACTAGGAAGTCATCAGGAGCCTCTCTCAGTGTCTGATCTCTACTCGCCTATGCATCTATGCATCTATTCTTTTTTCTTCTTCTGTCTTCAGTTATCAAGGCAGATCATGATCAATGAAAATTTCCAGCTTTAGGCCTCCCTGGTGACGCAAGGGGTAAAGCACAGCACTATAAGTAATTTGCAGCCTCTGCAGCACGAGTTCGATCCCGGCCAGCCAGGGAGCAACCCTCATGGTGCAGCAGACCTCTCCTGACTTGCCCACTGCTCCCCTCAGCAGTGTAAACATAAAAAAAGAAAAAAATAAGAGAAAATTTCCAGCTTGTATATTGCAGGGTGAGCCATTTGAGAGATGAAAGTCCCCTGTCAAGATTTCAACTCCAAATACCCTCAAAAAGGTAATGTCTAATCCCGAAACTTCCCATGTCACTAACTTCTTAGGTTAAAGATACTTGTATTAGTTTCCTATAACCGTTGCAACAAATCACCACAAAATTGGTGTCTCAAAACTACAGAAATGAAAATTTTCACAATTCTGAAGCCTGAAACCAAGGTGTCAGCAGGGTCGTACTTTCTCCAGAGACTATATGGGCGACTCTAGATGATGATGAGCATCATCCCTTAGCTGGCAGGCACGTCATTCCATCAGTTAAAGACCAGCATCTTTAAGTCACTCTCTACCCTGTTTCATCACATCACCTTTCTCTTTCTCTCTCTCTCTCTCTCTCTCTCTCTCTCTCTCTCTCTCTCTCTCTCTCTCTCTCTGTAATCTCCTAATAAGGATACACGTGACTAATTCAGGGTCCACCCTGATAACCCTTAAGATTCCAAATCACAAGATCCTTAATCATGTCTGAAAAGATCGTTTTCCTTTATGAAGTAACATTTACAGGTTCTAGAGATTAAGGTATCTTTGGGGGCCATTATTCAGCCTACTATAGCACCAAGACTACCAGCTAAAAGTATCTGTTCATTCAGTAAACACTCTCTGGGCATCTACTCTATGCCAAAACTGGTCTCTGGGGACACACAGTGACAAACAAGGCAAATGAGGGTCCTCCTTGAGCCCACACTCTAGTGAAAGAGAAAGAACAATAAGCTAGCCCATAGAACCTCAGTGCAAGTCAGCTAGTCAGTCACCTAGCAAGGTCTTGCCTGAACAGAACCTGGGACAGGTGCATTGTGACAGGTCAGGAGGACTGGTGCTTGAGGGATTTTGAGGGATATCCCCCCAATAATAACTACAGTCTAATCAGCACTTATTATGAGTTAGACTTTGTGCCAAATGCCCAGCATGCAGGCAAGCCACTGACCACACTCCTCAATCAGTAAAGATCAGCATGAAGGCTTCTTACAAGAAGCCCAGCATGCAGGTCCATGATGCCCTCTTACAGGTTGAGAAAATTGAGGCTGAGAGTTAAAATGGTTTGTCTAGAGTCTCACAAATAATTGCTGAGAGGGGGTAGCAGGTTCCTATATTCTCCAGATACGATGATGCAAAACAACATTACCTTAATAAAAAAATTAATAAGTAGCTGAGTGGAAATCTGAACACACATTTGTGTTCTTAATCAGTTGTGGTACTGCCTGAATTGTCTGAGGACACTGGGCACTACTTGGGTTGTAGATGCTGAAAGAGGGAAGAGAGGTACTGGGCAGTGGGGCCAGCTGCTTCCTGATAGCTCTGGCACAGTCTGGGTGTCCTTGGGTAACCCCTTTACCACTCCAGCCTCGGTTTCCCCACCTGTTATTTGAAAGGATTGGAGAAGATGAAGCCAAATTCCCCATCTCACTCATATTCCCTGCAACTGGAATTAAGGGATGTAATGAAAACCCAATTATCCTCAGGCTTTCTGCTGGGGCAGGGGCTCATATCAGGCACCAAGATCCCCCAAAGCTGGAAACAGTGGGCCCCAGAGCCCTAGATTAGAACTACATCACAATGTAGCCATCATGCAAAACCTGTGGCCCAAGATACTGGGTGATTCTTCAGGCTATCACTTGAATCCACCCTGGGGACTCAGAGCCTTTATGGTTCTGCAGAGCCTATCAGATGGCTTCTCTGCCTGACTCTTCAAGTGGCAAGGGTGCCCAGGGGTCATTTCACGAGACATTCCAGGACCAGAAGGAAACCCAGCCCTGATCTTTACTGATTGAGGAGTGAGTGTGGTCAGTGGCTTGCCTGTTAGACCTCTTTGACAATTTTGATTACATCTCAGAACCTCTTACCAGGTTGCAGGTGTGCAGACAATGGCACACTCTGAAGTCCACACCCAGTCACCAGGTTAAGAATCTCTGGTATAGAGGACTTGTTCTGATTGGACACATTCCAGGAATTGAAGGCTAAGTGAAGGTCACTTAAATAGAAGTCACTTTACTTTCTATTATCTCAGATGATTCAAAAGCTGATGTGTTTATTTGCAGGAAGGGGGCACAGAGAGAGAAAGGGGAGGGTGACATCTAAACAGAACTGCATGCAATTCTCAACCAGCTGCTTAATTTCTTCACATCTGTCTTGGGAACTGGAGAATCCAACAGTGTTTGCATTTCCTGGATGATCAGGTTTCATCCTGAAACACAGCTCCTAGGAACATTGTTGGCTGCAAATAGCAAGAAGTGTCCCTGTTTGGAAATCAGTTTTCCTTGCCTTCCAACAAGTGCCAGGTTGCCCCTCACATCCACCTGGCAGCTATATTCTCTGGTGCGTACACATTGGCACAGACCACCAGGAGCCCGACAGTCAGGAGCGTGAAAAGCCCATGGGCGGGGGATCTTCCCCACTCTCCTTCCCCAGCACAGCAAGGCCAAGTTTGGGATATCACGGGATTCATTCCTGAGAAGTTCAACATTTTCTGGTAATTCTTTGGGAATCACTAATGCTTTTGAAAATCTGATAAAGCTCCACACCCCTTCAGAAAAAAATATATATATACAATGTACACAGAAACAAACATTTGCAACCAATTTCAAGGGGGTCATGATTTCCCTAGAGTTTATGCATGCATGCTCTAAACACTACCATCCAGGCTGGTAGCCACAAGCTACAGGTGGCTACTGAGCCCTCGGAATGTGGCTGGTCACATGAGATATGCCGTGAGTGTAATATACACAATGGATTTCAAAGGCTTACTATGGAAAAAAGAATGTAAATGATCTTGTTGATATTTTTTATAGGATTACAAGTTGAAATATTTGGCTATATTGCATTAAATAAAATGCATTACTAAAATTAATTTCACAAGCCTTAACAGGCCTGGAATTCCCAAATTACAAATCTTTGCTTGGGATCCTTACCCTACCCTATTTCCCCACTGCCCCATTTCTTGATGTCATGGAGGGGGCTGTGCTAAGCAGGGCTTTCCATGCCACACCACCCTCATCCCTTTCCACATGAGGCTTGGAACCAGAAGGGTCTTCTTATGAGAGAAGGTCCCTGGTTGGGCTCCAGGAAGAGGTCACAGAGGTCACAGAGAAGGAGCACTGAGCCTGTCTGCATGGCCAGCAATCTCTCGATAAGAGAAATGCCCCAGGGTAAGTTTTTGCACATCCCAGTGGTCCACTGGTCTCAGATGAAAATCTCAGACCCAGTGAATGGGACCTGCAGCCTCTAAAGACCTGGACTCAGCTGGCCATGCAAGGAATGATACATAAAGACCAGAGGGTGGTTTCCACCACAGTCCCCTGGATGTCTTCTAGTTCCCAGCAATGTCAGCTATAGGACCCAGAAATGCCATCTAGTCCACACCTCATCGTCCAGATGGAGAAGTCCAGATTCAGGTGGAGCTTGGCACTGCCACTTTCACAACATCAAGAAGCGGGGCAGTGGGGAAGGATCCCAAGCAAAGTGATCTACCCAGTCACACCACTGCTTAGTATTCTCAGCAGAATCTCGCATCAGGCCTGGTTCAGTAAATACATGAAGAGTAGACAGCTGGTCCAGGGAGGGATCCAGAGCTCTCTGCACAGGCTGGTGCCCATCCTGCTGCCCCACTGCCATTCTATCCTCATCCCTCTTCAGAAAATGGAGAATGTTTTAGCTGTTGGCGACCACAGGAAAAGGATGCAGGAGAGAATCATAAGAAGCAGAACAGGATTTGAAAGGAGAGCTTTAACTTGAAATCATCGCTCCCTGCTACCTAGAAGGTCTCCGCAAACCTGGATGCTCAGTCCCAGAGACCCCATCTCTCTGCTTATCACACATATGCAAATGCCCCCATGACCTACATTTAAGTAGAATTCATACCTAACTATTTAGGACTTGGTTTGCAATTAGCTATGTTGACATAATGTGATATTGATAGACATTTAATTAAAACATTATTATAAACTTTCATATTTGTCTTCTGTTGTTGTTTAGTCTCAAGCATTTTCACAGGACTTTGCAAAATACAGAACCCAAAAGTGGGGTACATATTCAGCTTTACACTCCAGTGCAGTCTACCTGCCGTTCACCTCTGGTACCCGTTCTAATTGATCAATGCCTTAGCCCACCAGATGTTAAGTCTTTGAACATTATCCCTGCCTAAAGGGTAAAATCTGTCCTCCATGGGCTAACTTGGTCATTTTGGATAAGCAACACCCTTAATTAACAGTCTATTCTTTACAGAAGGGAGGAACAAGTCATAGAGGGTACTAAATGGTAACAACAGATCCCCTGAATCAGAGGTCCACTGGGGCCCCATCCTCACTGGATGACTCATGTTCCAGGAGCAAGATCCAACAGCCACTGACCAGACAGATGTCAACTCTGCTCACTAAGATGACTCCAGCAGACAGAGCTTTGGAGTTCGCAACGTCACATACGTATTTTTGCTAACACCAACAGGGACCATGGAGGGGCAGTTTTCTCACCTGCTCCCCCCACATGGAAACCTTGCACTGCTGCCAACATCCATCTCTCGTGCAGGTGCACACTGTGGCTCATTACAGCTGCGGGCCTGTGGAAGAGAGGTGCCCTTGGAGAGGCCAAGGAGACCCCGCCGTCATCAGACATCACACCTCTAGGTGAGCCCATGAACCCTCTAGGGACAGGGGAGGAGTGTGGGCTCTGACGTCAGACACCCCTGAGTTGGAACCTTGGCTCTGTCACTCATTAACTGTGAGACTTGGGAATGGTTACTCGTGCTTCTGTTTTTTTCATCTCCAAAGAGGGGAAGCCCCTCTGGCCTCAAAGGGCTGTGCAAGGATAAGGGGGGTGTGGATGCTTGTAGGGCACCTGTCCCTTGGTAGTTAAGCAAAGGCCTCTTTTCCACTCCACGTCACATGCTCCTTTGAATACCCCCAGTCCAGCCCAGGGCTGAAGTTACACGGCTAAGCATTTAAGGTCCTGGGTTTGGGGTCAGGAGAGTAGGGGGCTGGATCTGAATCCATACTCTCTTACTCACTGTCTATGTGACTTGGGCCACTTATGTCCTTGCCTTTGGCCTCCTCATCCATACAATGGAAATGAAAAAATTATATACTTGTAAGGGCAGTTGGGAGGATTAAATGAATTAATAGCTGAAAGAGTTTGGAACAGTGGCAGGCTCATAGGAAGCCCTCATTTTAGCTACTGTCTGTTGAGCAAGTGCTCAGTAAATGTCAGCTGAATGTAAGTGTCCCACGGTGTCAAAGAGCTGGAACCTCCTTTCAGCTAAGGTTCCCAGAGCATTTTCATTTTTTTAACATCCATGCTTCCCTAGTAGAATACCACGGGGGGCAGGGGAGGGCAGGGTGGGGAGAAGTAGACCCTTGCCCGTACTGTTCTGAGCTAGATGCTTTTGAAGTGCTTTTCTGGCACAAAGATATTCAATAAATGGTGCTAGTAGCAATAATTACTATTGTTTAGCCAATAAGAATCATCATAACTTCCATGCAGATTGCTGGTTTCCCAGTGATCATGAGGAGTGTGTCCTAGGCAAATATTTTGGGCCTAGAATACCACAGGAAAAATGCACAGCTATGGCTCATTATTTAAGCACTTACTAAGTTCCAACTGTTTGCAAACAAGCTTTGTGTGGCAAAAAAACCGGCTCCATTGTCAGAGAGCCAGGTTTGAATCTCCAGGGTTTCTCTCTGCTTTAGGAATCTAGAACGTGCGAGCTTTCAGGCTAGACGGGGAGACAAAAGTACTCCAGAGGAAGTCAATTCTGAGTGTCCCCCAGTCAGACAGGGTTGTTTCTTTGCTGAGGGAAAAAGATATGATTGGGGGGCCTCCCTGGTGGCGCAGCAGTTGAGCGCTGGGCTGCAAAGCTGCCCGCAGCCTCTGCAGCGCCAGTTCAATCCCCAGCATGGCGAGGGTCCCACATGACACGCAGACCTCTCTTGCCGCCCGCTGTTTCCCTCAGCAGTGTATTTCGTCAGTCTGCCTGTTCTGTTCCCCGCTCTGTCTCTGGTGAATTCTCTCACCCTCCTGTACTTCTGACTGTACCCAGTGCTTGTATAAATAAATAAATAAATAAATCTTTTAAAAAAAAATATATGATTGGAAGCAGGAGAGATGAAAGAAAAGGACACAGTAGAGAGTGTCACTTCACAGGAATCAAAAATGTTCTGTGGGACAGAGCAGAGCATACCCACCTCCCCCCCAAATCAGAGTAATGTTGATTTTCTATTTGAGCAGCTTGGAACATTCTGGAAGTCAGGATGATGCCTTAAAACAGCAATTCTCAAACTCACATGTGCATCAGCGCCACCCAAAGAGCTTATTAAATACATTGATGACTGAGCTCTAGTCCCAGAGAATCTAATTCAGTAGATCTTGGAGTCCACATATTTAACAGATATTTCTGACGCAGGAACTGTCTTAGGGACTGAAGCCTACTTCCTCTGACTCCAAGTTACTTTCCTATCACATTCCCCTGGAATGATGGAAGGACTCACATGTGGATGGATTAGCAGATGAGCAAACAAAATAAATGACAGTTCCCCTACAAACATCCAAAGGGTTGTGGGTGTGTATTAGAAGCTGGGGTCCTGACCTTGTTCTACTGTCTCCTTCCACAGTTTCTAGAAAGGATCACTAAGCTCTGCAGTTCTGGCCAGATGATTCTGGAATACCAGTCAAAGCCGGCTGGATAGAAAGGGTATGGGCTGTGCAGTGGGAATGCATGTATTCAAGTCTAAGATCTGGTTCTCCTGGGCTGTATGACCTTATAAAATTACACCTTTCCTGAAACTTGATTTAATACTGCTATCTACTGGAGTGTAATGAAGGCTAATTCTTCAGAGAAGTATTCAAACACACACAAAACTCTCTACTTCCTTTTCCCTATTGATCTGAAGTCCTTAAGGGGGGTATGGAACCTCTTGCATTTGTGAACACAATGCTTTCCAGGAACACAGCCCCAGGGGAGTCTCGCCACAGTATATTGCCTCCTATGAGGCCCCGGGGTTATGGCACCCAGTGACAGATAACTCAGGAGGTTTGAATCCAAGGTCACCTTGACAGCAGCTGAGCTACACATAGGTCTCAAGGGCATCTTTGGGTTCTAAACCTATTGGCTTCGCAACTGCTCCCCACTTCCTACTCCTGAAGAGCAGGCCCTGACATTAAACCCTGCAATCGCCTTTGACATAGCTTGGGAGTGGGACAGGGCGCCAGTTCAAGTTAAATTGGTCTCTGACATTTGTTACTAGACAGTAATGGAAAGCATTTGCTTTTCAGCTCCCGTACACCTGCATCTTCTTTAAAACTGATGGAGCCAAAGGCAGTCCTGGGAACTCTTGAACTCTTCTCTGAAGGTCTGTTTCACGGATTCTTCACCCCTCTGGCCTTCAGTAAGCATTTGATTCCCGGCTTCTGATAAAGGAGGTCCTGTGAGGAACAGAGCCTATTTATTCTATCTTGCTCTGTCGCCTCTAATGTGCTGTCACACAAGTGACTTGCTGTGTGAGGCTAGAAAGGAAACAATAAAATGCGCCATTAAGAGCTGCTCCCGGAAGTCATGCCCTCTGGAGGTCACATGTACCCGTGAACTCACCCCTCACAGCCTTCAGAGGGGCTGTACTATGGGTGCCCATCTTGCACTTTTTCTTGTAGAGTTGGGGACTGGGTAGGAACTGGGGAGGGCAGTGGAAAATGTTAGCCAGGGCACCTTTGTGACCTCCAAGGTGAGAAACACCTGCTTTGCCTTCCCGTAGGCGTTCCCTTCCTTTACCCTCAAGTCCCGGCTTCCAGAACCAACCAGGCTCTGGCTTTTATGACTCAGAATGACTTGGAAAGCACAGGTTTCACTCATTTGTCAAATAGGTCCATCCTATTTTTCAGATATGTCGTCCTCATCCTTTTCTTTTTGGAGAAACTGAAGGACAAAGGTCTTTCTTGTTTTTGTATTTTTTTTTTAAACAAAGCCAATTGACTTGACAAGGACATCACTTCCCTCCAGCCACACAGTCCTACATATCAGGGCGTTATCAGGATTATCAACAGGGACCAGGGATCACGGCGGCAACCAGGGAAAAAAAACTAAAGCAAAGAGCCAACATGCAATTCCTACCGTCGCAGAGTGGTGCAACATGCAATTCCTCCAAAGAGCCAACATGCAATTCCTACCACCGCAGCTGCCTCCAACCTCACGCAGCCAGAGGTGGCGGGTCCCTAGTCTGGCTGGCTCTAAGGCAGTCTTCTTCCCATCCCTCCTGGCCTTGGATGACTCTAAATGTGACCTCTTGGCGACCCATCCAGTAAGGGACAGTCCAGTGGCACCCTTTGCAAGGGCTATGTGTCACAGCCCTATGTGGTAGGAAATTTAAATTAAATCTCACTCAGGCAGCTGCATGCAAGGTCCTGTCCATGTGTCCTTGACCCCCTACTCTTGGGAAGAATACACGAATCCTATGTGACGGGCACACGAGGAAAAAGCAGGTGCTGGCTAAATGGTGAGAGAGAAAAGTTGGTTTTTAGATCCTTTGCTCTGTCAGGTCTGGGGGTCTCGTGCTGGCCCCTGTCCTGCTTGTACCCTGTGGACATGCCAGGCCTGTTTCTCCGGCTGCAGATGGTCCATCTGATAAACTGACTTGAGCTCCTGGAGGTAAGCGAGAGGTCCAGGGAAGGGCATTAACTGGGGCTTTGTGGAGCCAAGGTCAGCACCTGGCATGCACCCTCAAGGACTCCTCCCCTGGGAACTTTAATCCACGTGGGACATGGACATCAGCCTACAGGGAGCCGGGGCCATTTGGCACATCACATCACAGCCTGGCAGCACTGGGGACCACACACGGTCTTTTGACTTCAACCTGTCAGCTATACCATAAAGGAGCCCATCTCTCTGGTCCTCTGAGGTTTAAACAGCCACTGGAGGCCCTGTCTCCTCCGTGCAGCTGTGCAAGGTCCTCTACAATCCCCTCCCAGACTTTTGCTTCTTCTTTGGAGCCTCCCATTTTTTTTTTTTAAGATTTATTTATTTTTATACAAGAACTGGGGTACAGGCCAGAGACACGGGAGGGTGAGAGGATTCACCAGAGACAGAGCAGGGAGCAGAACAGGCAGAAGGACTGAAATACACTGCTGAGGGGAGCAGCAGGCGAGACAGGAGAGGTCTGCTGCACCATGTGGGTATCTCCCCAGCCGGCCGGGAATCGAACCGGCGCTGCAGAGGCTGAACCCACTGCACCACCAGGGAGACCCTGGAGCCTCCCATTCTATCTCATCGCCAGCCTTTGTTACTACCACCATATCCAGGCCCCGGGGATGGGGGTGGTGGTGAAAACTCAGGCCTGCTCACCTCCCACCCTCCTAGCCAAGGAAGACAGCCTTCAGGAGCTCATCTGGTTCCATCCTTGAATGCTGGGTGATAAGGGCACCCATCCCAGAAGAAGATGGATGTTGCCGAGAGCCAAGGCCAGCCCACCTGCAGGACAGAGGAGGCTTTTGGACCTGGGGGTAGGAAGAGTTCCAGCAGAGCGACCGCTCACGCGTGAGCTAGAGAACTAGCCACCGCAGGGGGAGGGCGTCAGGCCGGGGGCACCAGCCTCATGGACATCGCCAGGACCACTTGCTTGAGACCGCACTTTAAAAAGCAAGGGCCAAGGGTCTCTGAATTGACCATTCCCGCTCTTCCCAGACCCCTCACTCACTGAAAGCACAAGTAGTTCGGGGTGGGCTCCCTTGGCATTATTTTCAGGAAGGTGCCTTCGATGGCACCAGGGGCCTCACCCCACTGCTGGCTCTGCTGGGACTCGAGTACACCAAGGAATCGGGGCCGGCCGGGTTGGGTGGGTCTCAGACAGGGGCCCTGCTACGCGTAGTCCGAAGGCGCTTTGGAAGCGACAACAGAGATGCCTGGACGTAAATTGTGACAAATCGGACCAGAGAGCGTAAGCATTGCTCTGCGCGTTTTTCTGCCGTTTATGTATTTAATTTGGGGCCATCTCAGTCAGCCTCCAAAGGGGGGAGCGGGGCCAAGAGCTCAGACCGCAGGGAGAAGGACCAGGGAAGGAGCTGAAGGAGAAACAGCTGGGGGGAAACAAAAAAGCGGAGGCGCTCCTTGGGACTCCGCTCCGGAGCTGAACTTGCAGCTTTCACCACGCTGACTTTAAGCCGACCTTCAGCCGCGCTTCTTAGCAATGTACACCGGGCAATCGCTGGTAAATCTTTATTAATTTTAATTGGCGGCACCCATTTATAAGAACCATTAAAAAGGATAAATTGAGCCCATCCGGCGTAATGTCTTTTGTTAATTAGTTTGTCAGCACTGTTTTAATATCCCCTAATGACTTCATATTTCAGACCTGACATTAAAGGAGACGCAGTGAGAAAGGAAATGGTCTTATCACAGTGTACTGTAACGTTTTTCTTTTTTGAACAAAAAGTGTCCTTCCGAACGCTGACCAAGGTGAGCTGTCATTTCATGCTCAAAGCTAGGTGCTCAGGCCTTCGGACGCCCCAGTTCTCATTCCAAGCCCGGTCACCCATCATTCCTGCCCCTGCAGCTCTCCTCTCACCCTCTCAGGCGTCCCCCCAAACGCGCTTGAGTCTCCCTTCTTTCCTGCCTTCATTTATTTAACAAACATTGATTTTGTCCCTCGGAATCAGGGGAAGAGGTTGGGATGAAGTCAAGCAAGACACGGATACTTTCTAGAAAAAAAAAGTTCTAAAAGCTTTGCATTCTCCATCCCCCTGAAGGACTTTTCTCATAACTCAAGGCCATCTCTTTTGTTTGGCAGGAAACAAAATATGCAAGGGAAGGGATACAAAGACAAATAGGGTGGGCCTTGACTCCTGGTCCCTAACAGTTTTGCTCTAAAATTAAAGGCAAAGCAAAACTGACACGAGAGGGGTCTCCCATGGAAGGAGCAGAGGTGTTGGAGGGAGATGGGGAAAGGAAGTCATGTTTGCAAATTTGCAGCCTCTCAGGGGTGATGGGGATTTTGGGGAGAGTCAAAGAAGAGGGCAAAAGATGAAGCACAGGGAATGCTGGAAGCTCTTAGAGCGATTGCACACATCTAAGATCCAAACAAAACGAAGGAAGTAAATGTGTAATGAAAGGTTTGCACTATCACTCTGCCTCAGTCTGCTGTGTCTGAGGACCACTGGGATTCAGGCGTCGTAAAGGGGTCAGGGAGGCATCGTAAAGAGGGGAACATCACAAGGTGCACCCACTCTGCCTGCTAGCTCTCTGCATGCTATCCTGCTGCAGCTGCCTCATTGAGGGAATTTACAGGTGATATTATCCAAGTTTAACTGAGTGACACTCACAGAAAGCGCAATTAGAAATCATAGCTTAAAACCCAAGTTGACATGAAAAATGACAGTTGAAACTTCTCCCAGTCCTGATACAAGCTCTTTGTCAACCACATTATGAGGTAAAAATAATGTTGATCTAATCACATCTGACAAGCAATTGGCCAAAAAAAAAAAGTAAGAAAAATTATCTAGAAGACTATTTGAAATGTAGATTTATATCTACTATTATTCACAGTAAACTTTGCCCTAGGCATATTCTGTGCCTGGATATACCAGCTAATGATCGGGGCATGAATTTATGCTTTGTGGATAAATAAACAGTGGTGCATGCATATTCAAAAAAAGTCTCACTGTGCTCACTTCAGCAGCACATGTACAAAAAAATATTCTTACTGATACAGTAATGACCATATAAGTCCGAGGACCACCCAAGTGTGGAACTCTGGACAAGTACTTGACCTCCTAGGTCCCCAGTTTTCTCATCTGTAAAATGGTAATAATTCCATCCACCCTGTAGGATTGTTTTATATACTAGAGGTGAAGCATTTAAAGTGTCCACTGCAGAGCCTGGTGCTGGATATAGGCAACTCCACGCAGGAGCTAGTTTTACTGAAAAATCAAGGGCTCAGTCTCCCTATGCACATACATGCCAGAAATGTGCCATGCTGGCTTAGGAAATGAAAAAACTTTAATTCTGGAGCAAGGTCAGCCCCAAGACTCAGATCTACATCCCCAAATGGTCAGGGGAAGAGGCTTTTATCACATGTTGATCCAAACACATCAGTCTCAGAGAACAAAAGAGTTGAAATTCATTGCTTGGGTACAGGAATGTGGGGTTTGGCAGATCATTGGATAAAGCAGAAGGAGGGAGAGCAATGCAGTGTTAACTGAAGTTCAGTTGGCTCAAATGGGACAGGCCTTTTTCAAATTGTTTCTGGATGCCCACAGCCTCTGCCATGGGGCAAGGCAGCTTTGTTGGGGGCTGAGCTCCCTGCCTGTGGTCCTTCCCCCTCCCCCCAGCCCCAACCAGGTTGTCTCCAGCCATGGCTCCCTGGAGCCGACGGGCCCACCAGCCTGCTCTGACCTGAGTGCAGGCCAGGCTGGACTTTTCCTCCTTTTATATCTGGCTCTGGGATCCTAAATGGACCAGTCAGGTGTGAGCTAAATGGACCAATCTGATTCAAGCTCACTTCATTAATTATTTGGATTGAAAAATGGAAAATGAGCTGATTGGTGCTAAATGGTCCAA